GTCGGAAACTGTCAGCTGCAGAACGCAACTATACTGCGGCCGAGAGGGAAACGTTGGCTGTGGTATTTGCATTAAAGTGCTGGAGAATCTATCTATTCCGCCACTTTGACCTGATGACTGATAATATGGGTGTTGTCTATTTACGAACCAAACCGACTCTCACCAAGCGTGAGGCAAGATGGGTAGAGTTTTTAGCTGACTATGACTTTACGGTCTTTCACAAACCAGGAAAGAAAAACATTGCCGACCCGCTTTCACGCCGTCCAGATCTGTTCAGTGATTCTGAAATAGGCGGGTCATCCTATCCTCCTAACATTCAGTTGAATGCCATAGAGCATACCCTAGAGATTAATCCAGACTTAGCGCAGTTAATTGTCAGCGGTTACAAGTGCGACAAGGATCTTGCTCCCATTATCAGGAGACTGAAAAATTCAAGCCATGACAATCTGCACGACCGTTACCTTCTAAATGAAACACCCGGTTATCTTTATCTCAGATCTTCACCACAGAACAGGTTATGCATTCCAAAGAGTAGCAAACTCCGACTCGCCCTGCTTCAAGAATACCATGACTGTGTGACTGCGGGGCATCCCGGTCGAGATCGCACCTATTTCAGACTCTCTAGATATTTCTATTGGCCCAGAATGGGACTGGATGTAAAGGCGTTTGTCAAGTCATGTGACGTCTGCCAACGAGTTAAAGGCGGCCAGCTAAAAACTGGTCTCTTGCAGAATTTACCAGTGCCCAGTCAGCCGTGGGCGGATATCTCGATGGATTTTATCATGGGTTTGCCTAGGACCGATACAGGTCATGATGCTATATATGTATTTGTAGACCGCTTGACAAAGTGTGTACATTTAGCACCTACTTCCTCTACTATTGACGCTAAAGGAAGTGCTGATCTGTATATTCAACATGTATTTCGACTTCATGGTTTGAGTTCTAGTATTGTATGTGATCGTGATCCAAGATTTACGGCAGCATTTTTTCAGGAATTGTTTGATCGCTTAGGAACGAAACTAGCATTTAGTACTGCCAATCACCCTCAGACAGATGGCCTAACTGAACGAGTAAACAGAATAGTAGAGGATGTGCTGAGGGCTTTTGTAAATCATAAACAAGATAACTGGGATATGCTCCTACCTCTCTGTGAGTTTTCTATCAACAGCGCTACTCAATCATCTACAGGAAACACACCGTTCTTCTTAAATTACGGTCTAAATCCCAGAGCGCCACCCGACTTCCTCAACCCTATTCAGGGAGGCAGAGATTCAGCTGATTGGTTGCAAGCAAGACAAGACGCGGTCAAGATCTCACAAGATGCGCTAGTGGCCGCTCAAGCTCGTCAGGCCTTCTATGCAGATCGGACAAGGGTCGAGGGAAAGCTGAAGGTGGGAGATTTGGTAATGGTCTACCGGGATTTCCTCCTGACTCCTGAAGCTCGGGACCGACCATCCCATAAATTACGCCCCAAGTGGTTTGGCCCCTTTCCTATAACCCATGTGGTCGGCCCGAATGCCTACAAGCTCAAGTTGCCTCATACCAGCCGCTGTCACCCGGTATTTAATGTGTCGGCACTCCGTGCCTACGAGAAGAACGCTATTCCTAATAGGAGACAGCCTACGCCTCCGCCTATCACGGAACTTGATGGTCATGCCCGCTATGTGGTGGAGAACATTCTCAGTCACCGCCGCCGGCAGAATCAGCTTTAGTACCTAGTCAAGTGGCAAGGCTACTCTGATGCCACTTGGGAGCCTGAACATTATTTGTTGGATGAATCTGGTAATGACATTGTTCCACTTCAGAAGTACAAAACCTTGGCTTCTGCCCGCTGAGTTTTGCAGTTGAACTTCTAGTTTCACCTTACACATTTGTTGAGCTTATTACACTTTATTTGCATGGAGTTTCAGTCGTCTTATTGTGTTACTTCAGTGCGAAGCCTTTTTTCGTCTCGCACGTGTTTGCGCTTATTGTACTCTATTCCACTTGAGCATTTGGGTTATAAGCTCCTTCCTCTCCATAGGAGGGGGATGATGTAACAGTTTTCCCCTGTTCTCTATAACTTTACACTCCCTCGCACCTCATGCGTCTTACGCCTGTCTATTAGCACCTTCATTGGCGCCATTGCCACATGTATACTATCACATTTTGCATATAACTGGTCGAGGCACGCTCAACCAGGCCTCTTACTTTTCAAGTTTGATTAAACCTGTTACAACCAGGGTCTGATTGCAGCCGGGCATTGAGGCAACGGTAGTCGAGCACTGGCCAAACGACTGTCGCGGTAACACTGCTGCTGGCTCACCATGCACCATCGGATCGTGTGGAATCAGCCACTCACTCTCGATCCACTTCTCCACTTCAGCACAGAACAGGGCGTCTTGCTCTGGAGTGAGCTTCTCTCGCGATTAAGCTGCGATGCCGGATCCAAGCATAGCCGCTGGGGCAACACCATATTTCCACTGCCAAGAAAGCTCCCACTCCCTTTTCTCCGCATTCCAGCGCACTTCGCCATCCTGCGACTGGAGAATTACGTCATGCCCATCATGCTTCACGCTGACATGAGGCGACGGGTGTGCATCGCTAAAACAGATGCGACAACATCAGGCTTGGCGGGTCCAAACCGGATTCCACTGGTCCCGGGTTTCGGCACCATAAGCTGTAAGGGGATTACTGGCTGTGCATTAGTCTATCCTCTACCATGGCACACTAACCAGAAGAAAACAAGTCTTCAATTACAGATAGGAATACATTTCGTGAGAGAGAGAGTAAAACTACAAGTATCGGTAAAACATCGTCCAATTTGAACTTTGACTTTGGACATCAACGCGTGCACTTGAGACGATAAAACTTGGTATGAAGGAAGGTAAGGTACAGAATGACAACTGGCCAAGTGGAATTTATTGTCCAAGGAAGGGTTCATGCATTATTGGTCCTCCTTGTCGCTGCTCCCGGCGCTGGTGACAAATATTTTTTCGCAAGCTCATCTCTCTTCCTCTCCGCTGCCTGGCTATTTTCTAAAGGGAAGTCGACGGTCACGATCGCCTTCTCTATAGGACTTCGCGTGGGCAGCACGACTGCCTGTGTGGTTCAAATCAGTCGCCGTTATTTGCAAGATTTATTTTGAACAACGATGACTCGTACAGTACTTGCAGCAATGTATGCGTCGCTGGATACTCCGAGCGTTGCACTGGAGGCGAGGGAACTGCGATGTCAGCTTGGCGAGCGATCCCTAAGGTGATTGATCTCGCCCGTTTTGCAAATGGAACTGATTCCGAGTAGCCGATTACTTTCTTGTGCGACGAGCTGCTCTTGCCTGCCCAGTGTGACAAGATAATCTATAATTATTGATGCGGCGCTGAACCAATCAGAATCACGAACCTGTCACTCTCGAAATCTAGCTAGACCTTTCAGATACTAGTAAACTAACCTACTAAGCAAAATTGGAATGAAATGGGCTGCCAAGTGAGCATTGGCGTCATAATAACAAAGCCGAAAGATAAGCGACAATATTGCTGACGCGGACCAAGTATAATCGTTTCAGCCCTAATATAATTATACATGTACACACAAAGATATTTGCCATACCTAAGCAGTCAAATATTCCTGCATATTTCACTCATTAGTTAAGGCTATATTGACCGCTTATACTCGACTCCTTTTTAGCGATTGAACACATTCTTTGGTCAGTCGTGATAAATCTAATATTGACTTCGTACTTGGTCAGTATAGGAAATAAAAGACCTCGTACTCAGTCATTACTAGATATATAGTGATGGTGAGGCTTTTTTTCCTCAGCTGACCTAAGGTCTCGGCGTCATGGCGACATAAAATGCTCCAAAAAACGAACGAAGATGTTGTGACTTTGGTGGCAGAGTGATTGGTAAAGAAAGTGTCTGCTCCAAGTAACTGGTGGTGTCAGTGGACATTAGCGTATCTTGTAGCTCTTTGGTCCTTTTCTTTCAGTGCTATAAATTTATCCTTGGCTCTCCATCTGAGTTCATCTTTGCATACCTGATGAGCCGTCCTTTTTTATGCTGCGAAAACGATTGTCGTGTGAAACTGCTGCTTGTTTTAAGGTTGGTTCACATAAGCCAAATCGGCGCCGGGAAGCACTGGCGGTGATCCACCTCGTGGTTTGTCCTGTATACGGTTCGAGTACTGCTGTAGTACCAAATTCATTACAAAGTAGTGCAGAATCAGATCATGAAACTACTTCTACACTATTCATTGCAGTCTAGTAAGCGGTGGTGTCGAAGTTCTGCATTCAAACATTGATGAAGTCACAAGAGCTTGCGAATGCATCCTTCATATTTCTATTTCTTTCAATTGTATTTTGTCTCATAAGCTGCACCACAGTCAAGCCGATCATCCGGGAAGGATGGGTTGGTATGCTGACTTTATTTGCCACATTGATGCGACTACAAGAATGGCTAATGTATCTCAACCTTAGCTTCCATTTAGGAAAATTTAGGACTAATCTTGGTTTGAAAATTTGACAAACGGTTCACAAACCACTTTTGGTCAAAATTGTACGGGATCGGTGCCGGATAGGCACCGGCGGATTATGCCGGCATAATTATTGGCATAATTGTGTGGTTGAAAATTTTGAGCATAATCTGGCATCCTTTCGGAGGTAGGAGCATAACCACATGATTGACTGCCGGAGCAGATTGGGATTGCAAGAGTTGAGCCTGCCCAACTTTGCCGCTGGACCCTTGCGACTAGTTACAGTATGATTTTGTTACAATTGCACTGATTCACATCATTGCAATTCACTGGGAGAGGTTGCAAGATGCTCACCGCCGGTGGCTCCCGGCGTATACCGGCGATATATGAACCAACCCCAACTGCTGCTCATTGTGCATCCAAATTGTCATAGTTGAAGTACAGTACAGTTTGAGACGTTCAGTTTTGCATGATTCGAGGTATCTTAGCTTCTTATTCAATTGATCTTCGAATCTTTAGCGCCACACAAGTTGCATGGTATGTTGTCTTACCTTGTCCTTCACAGAGAGCGTATCGGGTTGGAGTTCTAGTAGATACTTGACGACTTCCACATGTCCTTTCGATGCAGCGTGATGAACAGGAAGGCCACCGTCCTGTGCGCAGGTAACACACATGACCAGACATTCCTATGCAGTATCCATCAGATAATATCTATATTGAGTGTACATGTAATGCACAACTCACTATGAAGTGAGTTGTTCTCATCTACACACAGTACTCTTAACCAGTGTTGCAACGAATATTGCTCGAATACCTTCGATTTTTTTCGCTGCACCGAATACTTGAACATGTGAGTCAGAATTCGAATATTCGAAATGCTGAACTTCATGTACAACTTTCAGTACAAAGGCTCAATCTGCTCATCGCAGCGCGCTCGCTGTGTTCTTGCATCATAGAATGTGCAACAGTCACTGCAACTGGGCAACATACGACATCGTCAACGTAATGTCCTTTGAAGCTGATTCTGACCAGTTCCACTTACTCGCCGTTTCTAGCTTGCACCCGCGCAAGAAATCCTTACGTTCTTCTTTGTAGTTTGCGGCAGTTTTATGCCTCATTTCTTGTTGGATGAGAGCAACGAAGTAAACAAGAAAATGCTGTTCTTTTCGAAACGCGAGTGCACAGTCCAGAGTTCACGGACTGTGCTGGGAGTGCAGTACACACTGGCTGCACAGTGCGGAGTTGCAGCATGCACATGAAGGTGCATGCTGGTCTGAAGACAGTGTTCTTTTTGTTATTGCACTCTGCTGTACAGTTGCAAATTTTCGCTGCATGGCCGCGTGCTTTTCTCTTCGTTTCTTTAGTGTAATCTGTCTGATCATGCCTGGACGTGGACGATCCTCCACCCCAAGAGGCCGGAGCAGGTCCTCCAGGGGAGGTAGTTTACCTGCCTCAACTCTTGAACCTTTGTACAACTTTGTTATAGAAAAGGTCAAAATCGTACGCCAAATCGCTTGTCGCATCGCAAAAGTTGAGCCGAGCTCAACTTCTGCGATGGCGCAGTTGCCGCAGTGGCGCGGGCTGCGAGATGGCTGCGATATGGGGATTTCCCGGTTTCGCGGCCGTAGCATCGTATATCGCATCCCAAAAATGCTTCTGTGAATCCCGCTTTAAGATCAATTAGATGGATAACCGATATAATCGTTTTAGCCCTAATAGATACATGTACTTGCTGATACTGACGCTGACGGAACACGAATTTGAGTTGAATACTCACGAAGTCTTGTACAATTACAAGTACAATTTGTTCCCAAAATAACTACTTCGGGACAGTCTGTTCATGGTTTTCATTTGTATTGGACTCGTTCTCTACACTTGCGATAATTTAGCGGCAATTCTAACGTTGTAGCGTTGTTCTCTTCTAATTTAGTGGAACCTGTGTTGAGTAACTGAGTTTTATGTTTCGTTACATTGTCGTCAGATCTCCTGTGTACCGTTTTTGTGGCACAATGATTATAGCCATTATATTTGGTCGTCTCCATTCTTGTGCAATCATGCATATGTAGGTTGGTTCTCTTCATGTTATTGTGACCAATTTCGTAGATGTTGGTTGCCTTGTTGCTTTCTCTCCCCTCTCCTCTCACCCAAGCCATTCTGCATAAGCGAAGTTGTGGACGCAGCATACTGCTGCTACACTTCAACGCGGGAATGCGTATAATAATAATATAATAATATACATGTACAGACAAACATGCAGATACACCCCTCCCCCTACAACACACACACACGTGTACACTCATACACATCGTGTACCATGTAGATGCCCGTCACAAGAGAAGCACGCTAATCTGCGAAATGTACTGGATGTGCACCCACAGATTTTCACTTATAAGTTATAGCAACAGATAGTGGACACGATTTGAATGATACTACTTAGTCCGCCAAGTTAAAATTGGCGCTTATCTTCCCACTTGATTTTTCAGTGTTCTGCCTGTGTCATACGACATAGAACCACCGATTCACCATCCAAACATAACCATTGATCATTGCATCCGACGACATGGCAGCACAAACCACCACAGAAGTTGCGATCGGTTCGTTTGAGTCTTTTTGACAGAGATGCCACCGACGAACACTTCCGTCAGCGAAGGAAACGACGCAGTCTCCGCTCGAGTTCGTAAAATAGGTCGGCATGTTCGCATTTCAGAGCGATGGAGAATGCAGTTTCTGTCTATTTCGAGCTGTCTAGTGGCAAGGATTGTTTATTGCGGGGAGGCATAGAGAAACTGAAAAAGCGCTTCGCGAGCTTGAATTTCAGTGCTGGCACAGTACAGCGCCTAGTGAAGATTTATCACCAGCAAATCGCCGACGAAGAAATTGCACCTCATGTCGACATCTCCAGAAAGTGAGACCAATCCAGCGGACACACTCTCAACCTCACAGTGGACCGGGCAAAGGAGCTAATCAAAATAAACACCAAGTCCTGAGTGAAACTCTTGTGCAAAAGACTTTCAGGAAACTAGCCGAAAAGCATGGTGCAAGGCGTTAGGACTTAGGTGCAGTACAGGTGCTACATCAAGCGGAAGCTATCACTGGGCTGCATGTACAAGCACCAGCGGCTCGCGTGGGTGCTGATCAGGAAGTACGACAAGCGCAAGAGACGATTTGAAAAAAGGACACTGTTATGGCGTTGCCTTTTTGTCTCAAACAAAGAAGCCGCATTATTGCGACGAACGGGGATACCACTTACAGCCAACACGCGGGCAGTCTCATTCAGCTTCAGAGCGGCGAGGTGACAGTCACGCACTGGCTGTGAGCTTGATTCGAGACGAGGAGAAGTGGAACAAGCTATCGTGCAGCAGCTGTCCGGATCTAACGTTTTGAGCTCTTCCTCCAGGGATGATAGTGGCGAGGAGGACGTATAACTTGCTTGAATTTTCGGCTGAGTTGCTTACTGACATGTAACTAATCATGTGCATAGTGCTTTGTGATCGTGGAATGCTTCAAATATATGTATTTCCTTCCTGAGACAAGTGTGAAGATAAGCGCCAATTGTTACTGGGCGGCCCAAGTGTTACGTGATCAGTCTTATCAGTCTATAACCAACAAAGCCACAATGCTACAGCCGTGTGAATGGCACAATAGCAGGAAGTAGTTAGAACAGTCTCAGGACAGAGCATTGGCAAAAACAGTTGCCAGAAGCGTAGAGAACAGACTGACTAGCGAAAGCCTGAAATGCCAGCAAAGAGCCAAAACCCAATCCACGCATGACGTCACCTGCGCATGCGTGGGGCACCCATATAACACATGTGTACGTGAACGCAGTACACGTGACATCTCCCTTTCTTTGAAATAAGAGAGTGTCCGAGCAAATCAAATACATGTGTATGGCGGCATTATAAGAGTCAAATGAAATAGCTCAACATGATGAGCTGGCTTGAGCGTATGTAATGCAGCACGCACATACATAATGAAACGACTCTTAAACAGGCACTACTGATCAATCAGGAGTCGATGATGAGACTCTTAGGGATCCGGACCACTCTTCCAGATCGCATTGTCTGGATGTCAGTGCGGGCGCCTTGTGACTCTGGCGACCGTTGCACCAACACCGGGATCTTGGATGGTGTGCGTTGCACCAACGCCGGGATCTTGGATGGCGTGGTCTTGGGAACAGGCGTTGACGGCCCAGGTAGCTTCGGGCTCGGCGGTGTGGATGATGCCCGGTCTGGCCCGTCAGCTGCAGTCGGCGGTGCGGGTCGGATAAACTGTCGATTCCGCTGCAGGACTCTTCCGTTGCAGGAGACTTCATAACTGCGGCTAGACGTCTTGCCGGCGATTACTGCAGGCTGCCATTCTCTCGACTTGCCGTCAATCGGTTGAATGAAAACCTTTGCGCCAGACGTGAGTGGCGGAGGTCTTTCCTTCGGTGGTCGAGGTGCTCAGCTGCCTTTTGTCTTCTGGTCTCCTTCTTCTGAATGTCGGTTGACATATCTGCAGCGGGCTTGAGGCGATCATTCAGGGTTGGCAGCACAGTTCTGGTTTGGCCACCAAATAGTCGTTGCACGGGACTGGTGCTGAGACCTTCAGTGGGTGTGTTGCGCACATTCAGTAACCCGAGGTATGGATCGGACTTCTCTTCCTTGCACTTCTTCATGAACTTCTTCGCATCCTTGACGGCGGCCTCAGTAGCACCATTAGATCTGCTGTTGCCTGGGCTGCTGTGCTCATGCGAGAATTCCCACTTCGAGGCGAAGGCGCTAAATTCCCGGCATGAGAACTGGGGACCATTGTCGGAGACGACTACATCAGGGATCCCATGCCTGGCGAAGTGATACTTGATCTTGCTGATGCAAGTGCTGGCCAGAGTGTCAGGAAGGAAATCAACCTTGTAGAAGTTGCTCAGGTAGTCAACTGTAACTAAGTAGTTTCTTGACTTGATGGTAAAGATGTCGATTCCTACTTTCTGCCACGGGCGATCTGGCACTGGGTGTAGGAAGAGTGTCTCGGGCTGCTGCTTGCTGGTATGACGAGCACAGGTGTCGCAGTTTACGACGAACTGACGAATCTCACTCGACATTCCAGGCCAATAAACAAGGTCACGGGCTCGCCGTATGCATGATTTTACTCCTATGTGACTGGCGTGTGCTTTGGTTTTCACGGCATTGCGCATGGAAAGTGGAATGACGATGCGCTCGCCAAGGAGCAGAAGGCCGTCTTGTGCTGTGATTTCATCACAGCACTTGATAGGACTCAGCGTCCTATCAAGCACTGGAGATGGCAATTAATACCCGGGACATCAAGCGCCCACGTGGCCGACCCCATCTCAGATGGATTGACAATATTAAAAATGATCTAAAGCGCGCCAATATTGATATTTCTGACTGTTTTGAACTGGCTCTAGACAAGGAAAAATGGCTGATGCTTGTGGAAAAATGTGCTGCGCTTGCGTAGTTGTTCTTACTGCGCTACGTTCTAACAATAATGAGATGCCTTTTGTCGGCTCTTGTGCCTGGATTTCGTTGAAAGATGCGTTAAGCCCATGGATCCTTCCAAGAGTGACATGCGAACTGTAACTATTATTATGATACAACCCTGACTGAACCGATTGGCAGTCTTTTTCTCGAGTGTACTGGTTGGTGGGTCATTTGGG